TGGATTTATACCTTACATACCCGGACATCTTCACTATTCTACATCAGTCTATGGTGAGTTCACCACACCGCTTTTCACTTTATCATGCAATTCACTTTTCGCAATGATTTCCATTCCATCGGACTTGTTAAGCACTGGTTTTTACCCGTAATATACCATTGTTCCATTGTTTAATTTGATGAAATGCAGCAGTTTCTCTAGCAACAGCAGCTACAGTTTGAGAAACCCGGGAAGCGATTGTTTGAATTGCTTGCACAGTAGCTGAACGTTCAACCTGCGTCCCACAGTGCTGGCACACGGAATTCAGTAGACGCAGTCACGGCAGCCATCACAGAGTTCGGTTTCAATAAACCGAATGAAGTAACTTTTGATTCCTAGTTCAAGAATTATGAAGGTATTTTCTGTGTTGAGTTGGCGGAGCAAGGTGATGCGTGGAAAGTTCGGTTGTTGCTGTCTAAACTCGGTACAGTCGAGTATGCTCAAATGTGATGACCATAGTTTTACAACACATGCTGGAGTTGTGAACCGAGAGTGTGAGCGTTTCAAATTGGGTACGATGACATCTGATCAGTTCAAAATTCTCATATTTATCTGCAGTCTTCAGTCTCGTGCCGATGCTGATGTATTCACACGCATCCTACACAAGTTAGAGCAGGGACCCCATTTGACATTACAGGACATTGCTACTGAATGCCAGAGACTGATTAACTTAAAGCATGCTAGTAAAATGATTGAAAATGCTGACCCCAGTTGACCGCAAATTTGTCGCACAGTTGTGAGGTAAAAATGTGAGCCATAGCATACCCAACCAGCTGCCTCCGACCTCATGCTGGAACTGTGGTTGTTGGAATCTCGTGCGATTCTGCATTTACGAAAAGCATCACTTTCAGAAGTGCACACGTCTGGGTCACCAAAAACCACAGTGCCGCACAACCTACGATTCCAGGCCTGTGTCTATCCCAAACTTATACACGAACTCTAAATCCAAAGAGACGTCGTTTCTGGGATTAAAGACATAAGTAGTTCTCGCGATCTGTAGCACAGAATTTGTGGGAAAGCGAAGTAACTCACTGTCAAAATTAACGATGTCTCCATATCCTTGCAACTGGATGCGGTATTTGTCATTACAATCATTTCTTGATCGTCATGCATGAGACTTGGCAAACCTCCAATGAGGCACACAAATCTGACCGCCCAAAATGCATCCGGGGAATCACTGAGATTAGGTAGTGTGTTTACATGTGAAATTAAATTCCATGCTCTGAACCTCCGTGGAACCATCTACTTAGTTTCTTGTGGCGGATTAAATTTGCTCACTGTAGCATTGAATCATGTGTGTTCTGAAACGAACGTCGTGGTGCATCATACAGCCGTACCACCTCAGCCAAGTCAAACCATTGCTGTACTGCTTCAGGCAAAGTATGCTTGTGTTTTCCAACCTGAACTTGGACATTGTAGCAAGATGCAGGCAAAGCTTACTCTGTTACCTGATGCTACACCAGTGTTTCGACCTAGGTGCCCGGTTCCTTATGCATCACAATTACTTGTTGAACAGAACCTTGACCGATTGCAGCAAACTGGCATGATCCAGCCAATAAATTTCTTAACTTTGGCTATCCCTATCGTTGTGATTAAGAAGTCGAACGGTTCTATTCGTTTGTGTGCAGATTTTTGAACTGGTCTGAATGATACACTGCAACCCCATCAATACTACTTCCACTTCCTGACTACCTGTTCGCGAAGATGAAGGGTGGTAAACATTTTGCTACCTTGAATCTAGCGGGTGCTTATTTACAGCTAGGAGTTGAACCTGAAAGTAGGAAGCTTCTCACGATCAACACTCATCGTGGTCTGTAGCAATATAGTCATCTGCCATTTGGCGTTAAAACCGCACCCGCAATTTTGCAGCAAATCATAGATGTTATGTTTACTGGAGTAACTGGAGCTGTCGCCTATCTGGATGACCTCATCATAATGGGGCACCACACAGGACGAATTATTTCAACGAGTGGATGACGTGCTGATGCGAATCAAAGATTATGGATTCCGTTTACGAGCAGACAAATGCAAATTCTTCTTGAAGTCTATCAAGTTCCTGGAATTCGTGATTAATGAACGCAGCCGACATCCAGACTCTGAGAACATGGAGGTGACAAATAGTTTGCCTACACCAACGGATTACAACTCTGAGGTCGTTCTTCGGAATGGTGAGACACTATAGCGAGTTCTTACCAGCTATGCATCTGCTGATGAAAGATGTCGAATGGAAGTGTTCCAGGTAGTGTCAATACACATTCGAGAAATTGAAATCTCTGATGAAATCATACTTATTGATTACCCATTACAATCTTGATCTGGAGATCATCCAGGCTACAGACGCTTCTAGCTATGGAATCGGTGCAGTCATTTCACAACGTTTTCCATACGGTTCAGAAAAGGCTGTGGTGCATGCGGCGCGAGCTCTGACGACCTCTGAGAACATCCACAGCCAAAATTGATAAGAATCACTCGCTATCGTCTTTGGTGTTCAGCAATATCACAAAATAATTTACTGCCAGCGTTCAACACTAGTAACGGATCACAAACCGTTACTCGCTATCTTTGGGTCCACAAAGGGTATTCCGGCGTACGCGGCCAGTCGACTTTAGAGATGGGCGACCTTGCTCTTGGGATACGATTTCAACATGAGGTATTCGTTAGCTGAGTCTATTGGGCAAGTGGACGCTCTGTCCAGATTAATCGATACTAGCAGACGTGAGCCTGAGTATGCCGTCATTGCTTCAATCACAACCGACACGGATATCGGCCACATAATACGTGATGCCATGAGCACCCTAGCGGTAAACACAAGAATAGTTCAGCAAACCACGAACCAAGACGCATTGCTATAGGAAGTATTGACTTATACAAGACAAGGCTGACCAAAGCAGTGCCCTGACGAATCTCTGGTACAGATTTTCATGCGACGCGCAGCTTTGTCTGAAGTCGATTCCTGTCTGTTTTTCGCGGATCGCCTGGTCACTCCCGAAGTATTTCTGCGGCGGTCAAATAGACCCAAAGAGCACGTGGAGATCCAATCTTTCATAGTGTGCTAAGTAAGATCAAACTGACTGCCCTGAAGAGATCATGGTAATCTGCATCGGGCAGGAAGATTTCTAGCTCTACTGTATCGAGAGAGTAGACAGTTTATTCGGATGCACCTTGCAGTGCTTCTTTTTTGGGGACCCTCCGAAACTCATGCAGTTGTTCGCATAAACGGGAGAATGCTCTGAGTTAATAAATTTAGACTATACTGATTGGAGACACTTTATACCATCCCGCCACCTTTAACTGATTGCGAGGTGGTCAATTTGAGACAATGTCTGAGTCGCAGAAGGGGGCGCCAAGTAGCGGAACGTCTCCTCGAATGTCTGAAGCTGGTGCTCCAGAGAAGCCGACGATTGTCTTCACATAGTGTGTAAGTCATCCCGTAGTCTAAAGATAAAAAGCCCATCTTGTAATCTGGTGGTGCGGGTTCGAGCCTGCGTAGTGGCAGGGGGACCGTCACAGTATCTTAACCCACCTGCGACCGATGGTGGTTGCGCGGCAGCGAAGCGTCGATACTGCGTAGCGGCGTACTGTTGATGTCTAAATAGTGTGAGTAGTCTCTCGCCATTATCTGCACGACTCCCATAGAGCGCGTGGTGACACCGTGGTGACTTTCATTTGATAACAGACGACAAACCTGTGCGTTGAGATTCCTTGCAAGGACAACACTAACGGATTTGTAAGCTCTGCTCAAGAGCTGTTTAAGTTCACGATAGAAGTCGTCTTTCAGGCAGTCACAACTGCAGTAAATTGAAATGTTCGCTGAGATCACAAACAAGCTACGTCTCTCCTCATGACGTCTGTTGATCCGGTATGATCTTCTAAATCGAACTGCACGCAGTCGGCTGTCTCTGGAACCAGTCCAGCAGTGTGGCCTAGGCTTTACTATTTAGTGCTACACCAACGCTAGCCAAGCCAGCGGCGGCTGCTTCTGTGTCACCGTATAGACGTGGGTGAAATATGGCTCCGGGGTCGGTGAGAGATCACAAACCAATCACAGTACTGTGATTTTGTGTCGGCCCGTAGCCTAGAAGTAAGGTGCTTGTCTCGTAATCTTGTGGCGCGGATTCGAATCCGCGTAAGTGTGGGCGTCGTTGCGTTATGCTCAGCACGCGTGCGACTGGTGGTTGTCGCAAGGCAGCCAAGCGCCATTACGGCCTACAGCTGACACATTATTATTTACTATTATTACTGGGATTTTGCAATTGGGTCTCCGAAAGAAAGCAAACATCGATGACGAGGGATTGCAAGGTGTGCACGAGACCAGCCTGTTGCCCATCTGTATGAGTTGACGTGCACTATAGTATGCCAGATGAAACGAGGATCGAGGACGAATGAGGGCAACTGGGTGACCTCTGTGGTCGTCATCAAAACTACCGATAGAAAAGTCCTATATAAGATGGTATACTAACATTGGAGCAACTGCTGCGTGTTGCGGGCCATAAAATCCAGCGTTTCTAATCACTTGAAGCCCATGTCAGGTCGTGAAAATTAGACTAGTCCGATTAATACTAAGTTTGTGGTTCTCTTCTTCAAGTTCCTCTTCCAAAGGATAGTCCGAACAAAACATTTGTTAGGCCAATCTTCACCATTTGATAAGGGTCGGATTATTGACATAGAATCAAGCGTTGCGAAAACCGGAAATTCATGGAGTTTCCATTAGTTGATTAATGCTGGGGCCGTTAGACCGTAATATTTGATGCACCAGACCGACTGGTTTGCGGGGAATATCGATTGATCCCGCATTCAAAAAAGGGCTCAACTGCTAAAGCGACATCTGGCGGAATTAGACGCGGTAGTTTAGACAGTCTGGGTGGCGAAAATCAACATTCAATTCACAGCACTTGCTAATTCGCGCAACAGATGGAAATATTTTCTAGTGAGAAAAAACGTCGCCATGACTACTTTCTAAGAATAATTCAAAAGCGGATCGATCAGTTGAAGAATGTGCATCGTATCATTCTCATCGGAACAGGTGAGTCTGGAAAGTCAACCTTTGTCAAACAAATGAAACTGCTCAGCTCCTACAATCAGACTTTCCCAGACAAGTACCGTGAAATATTTATACCTGAAATACAACGTAATCTGGTACAGGCTCTTGCATCGATCCTTGCCTTCATGGAACAAGAGAACATACCATTTGCAGGCGACGGCACAAACATGAGCCGTGCGCGAAAGTACATTTTTGACCTCAGAACGGAGATCGACCGCAGCCCAGACGCGATCATGCGATACGCGTCCACATCGGACTTTCAAAAGCGGAGAGAATTTTTCGACAATTGTTCCACTCTGTGGTCCAATCCAGCAGTCAAGGAGACACAGTTGAGGGGAAACGAATTCCAGTTGATTGACTGTGCACAATACTTTCTGGATAAAGTCGACGAACTGCGTGATATTCACTATAGACCTTCCGATGATGATGTGCTTCAAAGTCGCACGAAAACGCTAGGAATCCACACCGAGACGATAACATATAACAATGTTAATTTTGAACTGGTCGACGTCGGAGGTCAAAGGGAACAGAGGGCCAAGTGGATAGAGGCACTCTCGGACGGAGTGACAGCAGTAATCTTTCTAACGGACGTCTCCGCCTACGACATGATGCTGGCAGAAGACCATACCGTGAACAGACTCCGCGAATCCATAGATCTGCTAGGACAAGTGTGGACTAAAAGTCCACTAAGGGATAAATCCATCATACTTTTCCTAAACAAACAAGACAAGCTTGAAAAGAAGGTTCATGAACAGCGCACACGATTTGAAACTTATTTTCCGGAATACGTTATCGGCAAAACAGTGTTCCTCATTGAACTCCTCCGAGAGTTAAAGGAGGCCCGGTCGAATAAATCCAGAAAGGAGAACGAGGTTTGGGATAAACATTTTGCTTACTATCTACCTACCGGACGTACTGTACGTCAGACAAGCTTGCGTCAGAGCGCCCACAGTGAAACATCCAAAGTTGGCTCGAAAGAGGCACAAGTCTTAACGGAATACAACCAGGTACAAAGTCTAATGTCCAAAGCGTTTAGCGATAATCTAGTGCAAGCTTGGACACTTGAAGGTGATTTGGACGAAAATTTGGCCCGACAGCTGTTAACCAAAGAAGAGTTTTTCAACTTTGAGCGTAGATTACATTCCATCCCGTTTTTCCAAGTTGTTTCCATCACAACTTTTATCCAAAAACTATTTGTTTCACGCTGTGACCAGTCGACTGTCAGGCATGTGTACCCATTTCCAACCACCGCAATTGACAAGCGCAATGTGGACCGCGTATTCGAGTCATGTAAGGATATTCTACAAGGTAAAGCACTCACGGATCTAATGGTCTAAGGCATCCTGGTTCATGGGACCAAACACGTTTCTTGTCGGCAAACGCTGAACTGGTCTAACAATAAACCGTGGATTAGAAAGAATGGGCCAGTCGCCACCAATGCAGCGACGGCTGAACGCATACCTGGATATAACCCTCTCTCACGAACAGTCAAAATAGAAAGGAGCAACAGGTAGCCTACTGACTGGCTTTTAGGTCCGCACTAGGAAATACTCCAGCAGGAGCGCACTTCAGCGGTTTTTAGAAAGGAATGGGATTAGAACTCAACGACTAATGAGTTGGCGTGTGGGACCGCAATCACCACTATTGCATACAGCCGAGGTTTTGTGCACGTGCTGTAGCCTGTGACAAGTTTACTAACACGGGGTGTGGCATCACACATATAGCAAAACGTCCGAAGTTGACCACCTGTATACGTTGACCCCTTGTATAAGTTGACTGCTTTTCCTTCATTGCTTTAACGTGCACCGTGTAAAACTTGTAGATCCATACCTCCGGATGTTGTCCACCTCTTTTTTGATCACCGGTTCAGTCACTTTAGTGGTCAACTTATGGAGGTTTTACTGTATGTACAGTGGCTTAGAAGATTACTTATTGATCTTTTTGCAAAGTGGCACTTAATACGGGATAATCGACGCAAACAATTAGCATATGAACTGAATTATCGTGCTCACAGAAAATTACTCATGCAATCTAAACCATCGGTTGACTCTTTCGACGATCATGGTGCATATCCACAGAAAAGTACAAACACGCTATTGCAGCTGACATAGGCGAAATAACTGGGTTCAGGTGCTGTGACTGCTTCAAGATCCCAGCAATATTGATGCCACGTAAAACGTTAGCTTGACGTTACTGTGTCCGCTAATCCGAACTAGATTAGAAGGAGTATTAACGTTTTATAAACAGTCGTCAGTGCCCAACTTGATTAGACTTTGGAGCAGAGGTTCCTTTTAACACTCATCTAGGTAGTGCCACCAAAGCAAGTCCAACGAAACATACCTACACATACAGTTGTATAACGTTGGAACGCAACCTACTGGTGATTAAGTTCACGGTACATAAATTGTATATCTAAGATAATAACGATCTGAAGTGATAGGCAACTAGGCAACTAGGTAGTTGTCAGATACATGAACACCAAAAGTACAATCAGAGCAGCAAAATTTTGACAGAAATGAAACATCAGGGACCCTAAATGGACGCAGCACTCTAAATGATGTAGATCGATAGGTAGTATTGCGCCAGTTCGTAACTTATCGCTATCATGTGACAACAAGCACCCCGGAAAATCAATCTGCCCGATGTACTCACAAACTGCTAAGTACTCATTAAGTGACTAAAGATTTTGTCTAATGCGGGAATGTTAATGGGGGTACATAGCGGAGTCTTTCAAATCAGCTTCTACAAGCGTCCGGAAAAACACCAGCCCGCCTTCGCGTAAAGTTGAGACTCATCAGTAGTAGTAGTAGTAGTATTAGTAGTAGTATTAGTAGTAGTAGTAGTATTAGTAGTAGTAGTAGTATTAGTAGTAGTAGTAGTATTAGTAGTAGTAGTAGTATTAGTAGTAGTAGTAGTATTAGTAGTAGTAGTAGTATTAGTAGTAGTAGTAGTATTAGTAGTAGTAGTAGTATTAGTAGTAGTAGTAGTAGTAGTAGTAGTAGTAGTAGTAGTAGTAGTAGTAGTAGTAGTAGTAGTAGTAGTAGTAGTAGTAGTAGTAGTATAGTAGTAGTAGTAGTAGTTAGTAGTAGTAGTAGTAGTAGTAGTAGTAGTAGTATTAGTAGTAGTAGTAGTATTAGTAGTAGTAGTAGTATTAGTAGTAGTAGTAGTATTAGTAGTAGTAGTAGTAGTAGTAGTAGTAGTAGTAGTAGTAGTAGTAGTAGTAGTATTAGTAGTAGTAGTAGTAGGTAGTAGTAGTAGTAGTATTAGTAGTAGTAGTAGTAGTAGTAGTAGTAGTAGTATAGTAGTAGTAGTAGTAGTAGTAGTAGTAGTAGTAGTAGTAGTAGTAGTAGTAGTAGTAGTAGTAGTAGTAGTAGTAGTAGTAGTAGTAGTAGTAGTAGTAGTAGTAGTATTAGTAGTAGTAGTAGTAGTAGTAGTAGTAGTAGTAGTAGTAGTAGTAGTAGTAGTAGTAGTAGTAGTAGTAGTAGTAGTAGTAGTAGTATTAGTAGTAGTAGTAGTATTAGTAGTAGTAGTAGTATTAGTAGTAGTAGTAGTATTAGTAGTAGTAGTAGTATTAGTAGTAGTAGTAGTATTAGTAGTAGTAGTAGTATTAGTAGTAGTAGTAGTAGTAGTAGTAGTAGTAGTAGTAGTAGTAGTAGTAGTAGTATTAGTAGTAGTAGTAGTAGTAGTAGTAGTAGTAGTAGTAGTAGTAGTAGTAGTAGTAGTAGTAGTAGTAGTAGTAGTAGTAGTAGTAGTAGTAGTAGTAGTAGTAGTAGTAGTAGTAGTAGTAGTAGGTAGTAGTAGGTAGTAGTAGGTAGTAGTAGGTAGTAGTAGGTAGTAGTAGGTAGTAGTAGTAGTAGTAGTAGTAGTAGTAGTAGTAGTAGTAGTAGTAGTAGTAGTAGTAGTAGTAGTAGTAGTAGTAGTAGTAGTAGTAGTAGTAGTAGTAGTAGTAGTAGTAGTAGTAGTAGTAGTAGTAGTAGTAGTAGTAGTAGTAGTAGTAGTAGTAGTAGTAGTAGTAGTAGTAGTAGTAGTAGTAGTAGTAGTAGTAGTAGTAGTAGTAGTAGTAGTAGTAGTAGTAGTAGTAGTAGTAGTAGTAGTAGTAGTAGTAGTAGTAGTAGTAGTAGTAGTAATCTCAACAGTCTAGTAATTAGACATAGAGCCAATGAAAACCATGGAAATCAGTGGATAGGAGACTCATTGCGTTATAATCATCGTGGCATGCTAGTTGGGTGGGTAACACACTTCAGATAATATGCCGCAAGAAGAATGGAACATTTGGACAAAAATAGAACAAAACATTTTCAGTTTGTTTTTCACGCGCCCATTTTCTCCTTTTTTGTCATTTTCAATGTTGGTAGTATTAAACATGTGAATCAATACAACACTGTACAGAATTCTTTCACTGATTCCGGTTGCGGGCCATGTCTTCAAGAGTCCTAAGCCATTGGCACTCCTCATCTTTGGGTCCTCATCCTGGAAGACCTACCTCATCAGCGGTGCATTGCCATTGAATCCATCAGGAGGCAAAACCGCGACCTCTTGGTATTAACTGCTTGAGCCACTAGCCAGTACCCCATGCCACCAGGAAACGGTTGAGGATCGCAGATACTCATGACTCATAAGCTAACTGCAAAACAGTTCGACTCACCCTCTATTGACATGAAACTGTCGATAGGCTATGAGCTGGGTTCATGCTGGACAGGAGGATGTGCGTCACCGACGAATCCTGATTGCACGAAAAGGCGATCCGATGCATTTCTCTACGTGCGCGGCATCTGGCTTGGAAAATGCCTCTCGAAGCAGGAGAGGGCTTTACACGTGGCAGTGGTCTACGATTACTTTCTAAGCGATTTCTAACATACACACTATTGGCGTCATACTAAAACATTTTTATTTTCATTTATTTTATCTGGCTACATTTGTTAGCATGTTGACCTATATGCGCGATACTTTGCAATCATTATGTTTTCGCGCGTACCAGCTGTGCCTTTTCCAACGGCCACGTTAGAAAAGATAAATTTAAACATATTTAAAATAAGTGCAAGAATTGTACAAGAAAACAATACACCGGAAGGAAGGTTGCTTTTCGGAAGAGAAAACTGGAAAACATAAGCATACTTATCTTACTTACCTAAAGCATACGTTCTCTTATAAGGAAAATGGCTGAACAAATCTCCATCATCAACTCCCGAGAATGTTCGCTTCTAAGCGTCATTTTACTACAGCAGACCTAGCTTCAGGTGGAGGTTGACGACGCAATTGTATCGGTAGTAGGTTTCAAATGACATCGGGAAGATCGCCTTTGCAGTCACTGCAACCGTGGCAGTGGAGTCATCATCTACACCATCACATCCTTGTGCATATCCACGAAAATGTTGTTTTGCTTCTCAACCTATTAATTGCATGGTTCTAAGACGCAAGTCGTGATGTATCAATGGGTACTGCTCCATCTTCCTGGCTAACATCTATATTTCCCCCAATTGTTCGCAAACTGAAGCAGAGATATTGCACGATGACTTTACTGCGGTTGTATTTGAATACATCGACTGTTCAGTATGTATCTTTGCTGCTGATTTTAACCGAGTTGACACCAATTTGGTTACAATTGTTGGACTGCAAAACAGCGTAAATTGAAACACTACATCTGTGGTGGTTTATAAAATACGGAAAGGTTTAATTCCCATAAGAAAAAAGTAACAAAGGGCTAACACAGTCAGACCACGGTTACGTTCCAGTTACGGTGAAGCATATACGTCTCTAGCACGTTGGACCCAATGGGGGCAGACGCTCAGTAGAAATTCCACATCAGATTTGCGGTTTTCAAGCAGACTCAAACGCAGCGTATGCAAAAAGCAACAGCACAGCCGAACATCAGCACGAGGTGAGCGCGAATTTCGAAGAAGTGTATTCCAGTAGTTTTTCGTCAAATCAAACAAACTGTACAAAAAGTGCTGTGATACAAGTGATTACACGAAAGAAAAAGTTTAAGCATTAATAAACGCTACAGATCCGACACAACACTTGAGCTAGTATTCGTTAAATACATGAAGATGTTCTCTGGGTGTAACAAGGCGCCATTGTGTTGATCTGATCGCTCAACCATTAAACTGTATCCTGTTATATACTCTAAGGCAAATCACACAATGAATACTCATTGCAACGAAGGCATGTTCAGCTGGAGACCTTGTTCCACACAGAATATTGACCGACTGCGAGCATTGGTATTATTCACTGACTTCAGGTTATTTGTTAACACTGATATATCCATGTAGTGCTATCAGTTGCTAAGTTGCTTGAAATTTTGTTTTGGCATTTGCTGTCTATGCGAAACCCTGTTCGC